GAGTTTTTTTTAGTTAAATTGGGATCTTTGGGCAGGTTGGGGAGAAGGGAACTCAGCTTTCAGGTGGCCAAAAACAAAGGATAGCACTAGCTCGGGCGATGATTAAAGATCCCAGAATCTTCTTTTAGATGAGCCAACAAGTGCTTTAGACTCAGAATCTGAGGCTCTTGTGCAACGGGCCATTGACAAGATCTCTATTGGTAGAACCACCGTTGTCATTGCTCATAGGCTGGCAACGGTAAAAAATGCCAATACTATTGTAGTTCTTGCCAGTGGTTCCGTTGTCGAAATTGGTGATCATCGCCAGCTCATGGAGAAAGGGGGAGCATACTACGATCTTGTCAAGCTAGCTTCTGAAGCCGCTTCCAAGCCTGAGTTGAAAGAGAAAGTTGCTCCAAAGGTAAGAGAATTCTCAATGCAGGAGAAATCGGCTAATTATGCGTCAAGATCACGGTATGAATATGATATTTCGAAGCAGAAGTACTTCAAGTCAATGGAAGAAGAGAAAGAGAAGGAAGAAATACAAAAACCAAAGCTCAAAAGATTTCAACTTGTAGAGGTAGGGAGACTGCAAAAACCAGAGGCCGCAGTGCTTTTGTTGGGATTTCTCTCGGGTATGAGTGCAGGCGCAGTTCTCTCAGTATTTCCATTCTTATTAGGCCTAGCTCTTCAGTTTTACTTCAAAGATAACCCAAAATTATTGAAAAGAGATGTTGGGTATCTCTCCATAGCACTGGTTGGACTTGGCCTTGGTTGCATAATCTTCATGACAGGCCAGCAAGGTTTCTGTGGGTGGGCTGGGACGAAGCTGACAATGAGGGTGAGAGACCTTTTGTTTCGATCAATACTAAAACAAGAACCCGGTTGGTTTGATTTTGAAGAGAACTCCACAGGAATACTTGTGTCAAGGCTGTCGGTTGATTGTTTAAGTTTTCGATCAGTTCTTGGTGATAGATTGTCCGTGTTGTTAATGGGTTTAAGCTCAGCTGCTGTTGGGCTTGGCGTGTCATTTGTTCTTGAATGGAAACTAACCCTGTTGGCTGCTGCTCTGACTCCTTTCACTCTGGGCGCAAGCTACTTGAGCTTGATCATAAATATCGGGCCAAGACTTGACAATAGCTCTTATGCAAAAGCAAGCAACATAGCTTCTGGAGCGGTTTCCAACATAAGAACAGTAGCAACATTTTCTGCTCAAGAACAGATAATCAAATCCTTTGACAAAGCTTTATCAGAACCAAGGAATAAATCAACAAAGAGATCACAAATTCTAGGCCTAACCCTTGGCTTCTCCCAGGGTGCAATGTACGGTGCCTATACCTTAACCCTCTGGTTTGGCGCTTATCTTGTAGACAAAAACGAAACTAGCTTTGGCACGGTGTATCAAATCTTTCTGATTCTTGTGTTAAGCTCTTTCTCTGTTGGACAACTAGCTGGGCTTGCACCAGACACTTCAATGGCTCCAACAGCAATTCCTGCTGTTCTCAACATCATCAAGCGGAGACCATTGATAGATGATGATCAAGGTGGCAAAGACAGAAAGTTGGAACAATCAAAGCCACTGGATATTGAACTAAAGATGGTGACTTTTGCATACCCATCAAGGCCAGAGATGAATGTATTGAGAGACTTCTGTTTAAAAGTAAAAGGTGGAAGCACAGTGGCATTGGTAGGAGGAAGTGGGTCAGGGAAATCAACTGTGATATGGTTGGTACAAAGATTTTACGATCCAAATCAGGGGAAAGTGAGAATGGGAGGAGTTGATTTGCGTGAAATTAATGTCAAGTGGTTGAGAAGGCAAATAGCTCTGGTGGGCCAAGAGCCTGCATTGTTTTCTGGGAGTATTAGAGAGAATATTGCAATTGGAAACCCAAATGCTTCATGGACTGAGATTGAAGAAGCTGCAAAAGAAGCTTATATTCACACTTTCATTAGTAGCCTTCCCCAAGGCTATGAAACCCAGGTACCATACAAGATTAGTAACCTTCTCTAAGGCTATGAAACACAAGTAGATTTTTTTTTAAAAGGAAAAATATGTATATTCCATTAAAACATAACTCACAGGTAACCCAAATGCATCATGACTGAGATTGAAGAAGCTGCAAAAGAAGCTTCATACTTTCATTAGTAGCCTTCCCCAAGGCTATGAAATCCATGTAGGATACAAGATTAGTAACCTTCTCTAAGGATATGAAACACAAGTAGATTTTTTTTAGTAAAAATATATATATTCCATTAAAACACAACTCATAGGTACCCATGCAAACCTATCATAATACAATCTCAACAGATAACATGTAGGGAAGAAAAATTCCATCTCAAACCTGCAACCAAGAGAGGTTAATTAACATATACCTTCATTAATACTCGACCCCGTATGTATGTATGTTCATGTCTGATGGGATGCAGGTGGGTGAGAGTGGAGTGCAGTTATCAGGCGGCCAGAAACAGAGGATTGCAATAGCGAGGGCGATGCTGAAGAAATCAAGGGTGATGCTACTAGATGAAGCAAGCAGTGCGCTGGATTTGGAATCAGAGAGGCAAGTCCAAGGAGCATTAAGGAAGGCGTCAAGGCAGGCGACGACAATTGTGGTGGCGCACCGGCTGTCGACGATCAGAGAAGCTGATACGATCGCGGTGGTGAGAGACGGTGGGGTTGTGGAGTATGGAACACATGACTCACTTTTGGCTTCCCAAGTTACTGGTGTGTATGCGGCTCTGGTTCGGGCTGAAACGGAAGCTCATGCATTTGGTTGACTTTTTACTTTTCTTTCTTTCTTTTTTTTTTTTTAATATAAATTATTTACGGCTTTTTAAAAAAAAAAAATGAAAAGGAATGTGATGAATCATTACATTTTGAAGTATATCTATCATCTAATATATATTATTTATTATCTAACAAAAAATTATAATTTTTTTAATAGACAAAGTAAGATATATATTTACTTTTGCATTAAATACTCTAATTTTGATAGGAATAAAAAAGTATTATATGATTTTAGTAAAAACTTTGCTTTGCGTATCTATTGGTTTGAGGCTTATTTTGATTTTGAGTTTTTCGACTAAAATATCTTGAAACTTGAGTTATGGAGAATTAGTAATTCCAAGTCCAATAAATATTAGATTAATGCTACTAATGAATTTAAGTTTAAAAAATTGTTGAGAGACTTTCTTAGTACATAATAATCTAATGACTAAATTAGTAAAATTTTTAGTGATTAAATTCAAAATTTAGGGATCTATTCTAATTTATCTGTTATTAAACTAATTATATATTATTTCATAAAATTGAATTTAAAATATTACTGATTCGTAATGTTTGATTTAGTTAATTTAAAATTTAATTTATTAATTTTATGATCGATAAATTTTATTTTATTTTAGCAAAATATGATAATTAAAATATTTTACAATAAATTTGACTTCACTTCGATTTGAATTTACACTATAAGGTATAGAAATTGACAAAAATTAACATATTAAAGGTGAAACAATGGTTTGATTAATATGTGACCAATGTATGATTTTCCATGCTTACCTAATTCACATTACACACGTATACATTCATCCCTATATATATATTATCTTTATTATAAAATTATTTTAATAAAAATTCAAAAATTTCATTAATTATACTATGAATGTATATTAATTATAACACAATATCATAAATATAATGTACGAATAATAACATAGTCCGCGGTTCGATCTAACACTCACATACACCCTGAAGGTTGACATTAGGTGGATAGAAAGAAGTAGAGAAAGGAGACATCCATCACCCTCCTTAAAACTCCACTTCGTCTGCCTGAAAAGGAAAATGCAACCAGCATCTCTATTTGACCAAAATACCCTTCCAAAATTAACCAAAGCAAATTCATCCAAGCATTCCAGAAGGGCAGATTAGTCATTTTAAACCCAATTCCAAGAGCTTAATATATGTGGTAGCTTGGCTTAAAAGCCAAGAGAAGCCGGTGGTTACGTGGCTGGCATGTAAAGCTAATATCCCCGCCGCTGCTGCCTCCATTTTCCATTTCCTGCTTGGCTCTCTCTGTGCAAAACTTCTTCTTCAACTTGTTTTCTTTTCAAGTTTTTCAGGCTTCTGCTTCTCTCAGGTGTGTATATATGTTTACATATTTATGTATGTTATATACACCCACGTAAACATATCACGTACACTTGCGGATGAGTATATATATATATATATATATGTATTGCTTTTTAACGGGTGCAATTGTGTTTGTTCATTCTTGTTTGCATCTATATATCTAGTAGTATTCATACACTACTCATGATGTTTGAATCTTCAATTTATGTTATGATCGTTAATTATAGTTAGCTACTTTGTCAGCTTAATTGATTTTTTTTTTTTTGGCATGTTTATTAATTTAGTGATATAAAGTACTCTGAATTTTCAGACCCAAGTTCTTTTTTTATTTTTTATTTTTTTTTAATAATGAAAACACTAACTAAATTAAACGCCCCACTAAGTTTCTCTAGGTATTTAAGATCTAATTTTCAGATATTTTTTGCATGTTTATTAATTTGTTAATATTTCATATCAAGACCCATATTTGATCTATCAATTTTGATGAATAACTAACTATTTGTTGAAAATTGATAATTTGTAAATTAAAGAAATTTTTTATGTGACAAAATGTTAATAATAATAATTTGTAAATTAAGGGGATTTTTTTTTTTTGTCCTATTGAGAAGTTAATATTATGAATGTGTATATTTTGAAATTTTGTTTAAAGAGAATTAAATATGTTTTTTTGAGTTTTTTTTTTATCTAGTTCATGTATTATACTCAATTGTCTTTTGAATTTTTTGAAATAATTCATGTATTAAACTTAATTATTAATAATGAGTTAAATTTAATTGTGATACATTTATTTAGATTTTTAAAAGTTGTATCAGAATATATTTATACACCCATTTACTTAAAAGTTTTTTTTTTTTTTTTAGGAACAAGACTACAAATTCAAAAATTAAGTTTTCTTATTAGTTTCTCATTCTTCTTCCTTTCATTTTTAACAAAATATTATATATAATTAATCTCTCTCTTAAATGTTTTTTTTTTTCTGACACTATTTTAAGATTCATAGTATAAATTACAACTGCCTCAAACATGAATGGATCATTTGTTTGTAAATGAAACATAATCCAAACAAAGGCTATCAGCCAATCATCGTTTTTTTTTTTTTTTTTTTTTTTTTTTTATGAAAGTGAAATAAAGAAGTAAGTTATAAAGGTTAAATCTATAATTTCATCTGGTTAACAGAGCAAATCAACAATGGCGTCCCTGACACCTGGAGTCCTCCTGAAACTTCTTGAAAGCGTAAACTCAAACATAAAAGTACGTGGAGAATACCGTTCTGTTCTCCTCCAAGTAATCTGCATAGTCCCTGCGTTAACTGGGTCAGAGCTCTGGCCTAACCGTGGCTTCTTCATCAAAGTATCCGATTCATCCCACTCAACTTACGTCTCCCTCTCTAACGAAGACAACGACCTAATCTTGAACAACAACTTACAGCTGGGTCAATTCTTTTATGTTGATAGAATTGAACCTAGTAAACCAGTACCTATTCTTGCCGGCGTTAGGCCTCTCCCCGGTCGCCATCCTTTCGTTGGGACACCCAAGGACTTGATGCAGATCCTGCACCTACCCCCAGAGCAGGATAAGCTCGTTAATGGCGATTCCAAGTTGGTGGAAGCTAAAGAGGAGAGTAGTCCTAGACATAGGATTGTTATTAAAGAAGAGAAGGCAGCTGTTGCATCTAGGTACATGCAGGGAGTTTTGGCAAATCATCATAAACCAAATAATAATAATAACAATCAAAATGAAAGTAACCCTCCTTCAGTATCTAAAAAGGTTGCCTCTGTTAAACGCAAGGTCCAAGAGCTCAAGGGTAAGGTATGTCCATATATATATATATATATATGTATATATATGCTTCCTCGTGTCTTTGTATCTTTGTAACTCATTATTTTTTTTTTCTTGGACCCATAAACCATATATATTTTAATTTAGAATTCATATAATGTTTTTTTGAACTTATAAAGTTTATATTTTTTAATTCAGAAGGAGATAATATTTTCTTGGACCTATAAACTATATATCTTTCAACTCAGAACGAGATAATACTTTACTTGAACTCGATAAAATTTGAAAAAACTATAATAGAGAACATATTTTGGTATTTCAGACACGTTCCACAACTGCATCTCCTAATCAATCTGATCATTCAGTTCAATCCAAGGTAGAGCCTGCAATCCTATCAAACTCCAAGGAGGCTGCAGTGCCTCCGAAGAACACCACTGTGAAACACAATTTATCTAAACAAGAGAATGTGAATTTGAGTTCAACGGAGGCGATATCATGGACTTCACTGCCTGTAAATCTCTTGAAGCCTGGGAAAGTATGCTTTGTTTAGTACTCTTAGATATCTCCAGCATTCTTTTCATCATTTGATTTCTTATTCCTTTTTCTCATCTTAGTTCATTATGTTTCACAAGGGAATTCTCAGAAGGAGAAATTTAGCTTCTTTGGTTGCAGCAGAAGCTCAAAAGGAGGCTTCAATGGCTACAAACCTGGTCAAGTGCATCAGGCAAGCATATATACCTTTCTTCATTGAAAATGTGCCATGGCTAATAAATTGTTAATTGCTGATTTGATATATAGGATTAAGAAAATTGAATTTCCATTTCTTTCTAAACATTTTGTTGCAGCATGTTTGCTGATCTCTGCTCAACTGCTTCCCCAGAGAATCCTCATCTCTCTCTCACCAAATTCTTCGCTCTCCAAGAACATGTTGATCGATTGAGTGTGACAAAAGCATTAAGGGCTAAATCAATCCACGCAATAACACACCCTGCACCTCCAAATACTGATTACAAAGCTAGCAGAAAAACAGGTTCAGCTCCTCGGAAAACCTCATTGAAGTCTCTAAAACCATCAGTCTTGGAGCTAAGCGAGGCTGAGAAACTAGAATGGGCAAAAGGGGATGGTGCAAAAGAGAGTAAAGAATTGATAGATACTCTCTTGAATGAAAAAAGATTATGGTTTCTGAAATTCTTGGAGGGAGCACTAGATGCCGGATTTCGTAGTGGTGCTCAGGAGAAGAAAGGAAAGAAAGGTACAGAGAGATCAATGGAGCCAGACAACCATATTGCTGTCACCTTATCACAGCTGAAGCAAGCCAACGAATGGTTGGAGAAAGTAACAAGTGATTTGAGCTCAGAAAACAATGGAGCAATAGAGACTATTGATCGGTTGAAGCAAAAAGTTTATACTTGTTTGCTAGGCCATGTGGATTCAGCTGCATCAGCGCTGGAAAATTTATCTGATCATCGTAGTTGATTAGGCAAAAAGGAAATGGTTGGAAATCTGATAATTATGAACTAATTTTAACCTGTAAGATGGTGTGTATTGATTGCGTAGCTAGTGATCAGTTTAACTTGAGTCAAAAAGGCAAGAATGGTTTGGCTAATCTTATTTATTCAGAATGTGCAAGTCATATATGTATATTTCTAATAAGTTCACTGAACATCCTATGCATTAGAAGAATGACATTCATAAATTTCCTTAACTATGGCTCTCGTCAGACTTAACCCTAAAATTAAAATGCTCCTATCATTCCCATCTGCATCTTGTAGCATACAACAAAAATAGAAATATATCAATTTGATTAATTAGATAATACATGCACAACAATCCTAGCATAACCTTCTATCAAGACATAAAAATATACACTTCGATTTAAAACCAAAAATTCTTATAAAGAGATAGACGTACCAATTATTCAGACAAAACCTTGTTGGTATATACAAATGAATAACATAACAAGCTGTAAACAAACAACGGTTTAGAAACGAGCTTTATTGGATGTCAAATCCAAATCAGAATCAGAGTCAGGAGCTGAAACTCAACGGAAACATACCATTAATGCTAGAGTACATGATTGATGAGAGAAATTTTTCAAACTGGAGAGCCAGGGCACATGCAAAATCTTAATCAGATTGATAGACTTAGCATGTGCCCTGCTTCTCCAGCATGACCATCCTCACTATATTTTTTCTCTGTGCCCCTTAAAAATTGCCATTGGAAAGGGTCTTTTTATATGTAATTGTAGTAGACGCAGATAAGTTAATAAAATGAGATTGGCAGGCATTTTTTGGTGGGAGAGTAGTTAGTCTTGTGGTTTTTGCTGATAAAATAAGCATTTATTTGATGTTTTATTTTAAGCAAATCCCAGAGAATATATAAAGAAGAAAGTATTGTTTAAGCGACTGTTGGAAGTTTGGCTGCCAATTAGGGTGGAAAATTCAAGGGACAACGAATTTCACCTGATGCCCACATAAAGTAGCATTGCCATTTTACGGCAGACCACCAATTTTATGCAAGTAGGTGAGATATGCAAGAAGAGAAGTCGTGGCAAAATCAGCTCATTTTTGCATTAACTTCTCTTTCCCTATGCCAAAACTACATTTTTGTTTCTTTAGGGACAATTCATATGGATTATGATTTTCCTTTTGCGTTTCTCGTAAAAATTCTCTAGAACTAGAGATGGCAACAGATAGACGACAAGAATTTTTTCTGGTATATCGACAGAATATTCATATATATATATATTACGGACTATACAGGAATTGATAAAATGATTCATTTACTCTCTACATAAGCCCTTTCATATTTCAGAGAAAAAGAGAGACAACTACC